AAACTTGAAGACAAAATCAATGCTTTGATGACGGCTCAAGAAGTTAAGAAGACGGGTATTCCATGTCCTTATCCGAGGGAATGGGATTCAATACCATACCCGACCAAATTCAATCTGATTAACTTCACACCGTTTGAAGGGAAGAGTTCGCCGATTCAACACTTGATTTATTTCAAGTCTCATTTGGGCATAATCTCTGGAAACGAGGCCTTAATGATCCGGTCATTCGTTGGCACCCTTCGTGGGCCCGCCTTCGATTGGTACCGACGGCTTAAGCCAGGGAGCATCAATTGCTGGGATGACATGGAAAGTTTGTTCCTCAGTAATTTCTTCGATGATGACACCGAAGTGTCAATCGGAACCCTTTTGGATGAGAAGCAAAAAGACGGAGAGTCAGTCGACGATTTTGTCAAGCGCTTCCGTGGCAAAGCAATGAATTGCAGAGATCCTATTACAGAGGAGTTCATCCTGCAAACATGCCACAATAACCTCTCCATCGATGTCCTGGAAGCTCTGGGGGTCGTGCCATCCACAACTTGGAAGGAGTTAAAATCTCGGGGTGAACAAGCTGAGCACTTTCTTAAAAGAAAGAAAGCTGAGAGAGGCCAACCAATGACATCTGCAATCGTTGAGAATGCGACTCTCGATCCGAGGTTTCAAAAGGAATATTCTTTCGAAGATGATGAAGCTCCAGCCATATTGGAATACCTCCTCGCTAATGACAAAATCGAGCTACCACCTATTAAAGATCAGGATGGAGCTAAGAGGATTACGGATCCAAACTACTGTGCATACCACAGAAGGGTTCTTCATCCCACCGAGATTTGCTTTGGACTCAAAAACAAGATCCAAGCATTAATTGACTCCGGCGTCATAACGGCGAAAGAGGTCGAGTAAAGACAACCATCATACTCCATTGGGTACACGAGTATAAACTGTTTTCCCTGACTCCGATGAGTATACGAGTATAAACTGCTTCTCCATCTCACTCCGAAAAGTATACGAGTATAAACTGCTCCTTAATACTCCAACAGGTATATGAGTCTAAACTATTTCCTTCCTTTCACGAGAAGTTCCTGGAGAATGCCATGCATGGTACTTTTAAGGATAACGCGATCATATAGCTAAACATAATGATAAACTCAGTTTCGCAAGAAAAAGCTGGGGGTGGATGGTTCATGTAACGGAAGTTCCCGAAAGAATGCTATATGTAATTTTCTTAGGAATAACCCGATCATTACAAACAAAGTGTTAAACACTACATCCCCACGGTGATTTCCGAATATTCATTTGCTGAGATGAGATTCGATCACTTCGTTGGATCAATCTTCCCTCTCAAACCCTCCTTTGGTCAAACCTTTAAACAGTTAGGACCAAAGCCAAAATCCCCTCTCGATTCGTTCCATGAACGAGAGGTCCACAAATTGAACGATCAAACCTTTAAACAGTTAGGATCGTCTCAAATTCCCATCTTGGTCAAACCTTTAAACAGTTAGGACCAAAGCCAAAATCTCCTCTCGATTCGTTCCATGAACGAGAGGTCCACAAATTGAACGATCAAACCTTTAAACAGTTAGGATCGTCTCAAATTCCCATCTTGGTCAAACCTTTAAACAGTTAGGACCAAAGCCAAAATCCCCTCTCGATTCGTTCCATGAACGAGAGTCTCATTGTCCATTTGGTCAAACCTTTAAACAGTTAGGATCGTCTCAAATCCCCATCTTGGTCAAACCTTTAAACAGTTAGGACCAAATCCAAAATCTCCTCTCGATTCGTTCCATGAACGAGAGGTCCACAAATTGAACGATCAAACCTTTAAACAGTTAGGATCGTCTCAAATTCCCACTTGGTCAAACCTTTAAACAGTTAGGACCAAATCCAAAATCTCCTCTCGATTCGTTCCATGAACGAGAGGTCCACAAATTGAACGATCAAACCTTTAAACAGTTAGGATCGTCTCAAAACTTCCATTTGGTCAAACCTTACTACAGTTAGGACCACAACTAAAATCTCTTCTCGATTCATTCCATGAAAACGAAGGGTCCACTTTTGAATTGAGTAATCAAACCTTATGACAGTTAGGATTATTCAAACCAATCCAGATTCTCTAAGTGGAGATCCCACTTTGAGTTTCTTTACTCCAGGAGATAGAATATAAAATTCTTTCTCTCCGATTCTGGGTTTATCTCTACCAACAAACAAGTCTCCAATTCTGGGTTTATCTCTACCAACAAACAAGAGACCAGGAGAAAGAATATAAAATTCTTCCTTTCCATCATCGGGTTTATCTCTACCAACAAACAAGAGACCAGGAGATAGAATATAAAATTCTTCCTCTCCGATTTCGGGTTTATCTCTACCAATAAACAAGAGACCAGGAGATAGAATATAAAATTCTTCCTCTCCATCATTGGGTTCATCTCTACCACCAAAAAAGAGATCATGTTACTCCAATAGGTACACGAGTCTAAACTGTTTTCCTACCATCAACAGGAAGTTTCTGGAGAATATTACTCAGAATATTCTTAAGAATAACCTGATTACCTCCCAACGGGTATATGAGGTTAAACTATTTCCCGAACACTCCAATAAAGTATATGAGTATAAATTATTTCTCCATTTTTCAATAGTAGTTCCAATTCAAGACTTCGACGACGGTCACGCGATAAGCGCAGCACCGGAGGAATTTTAGCTATTCTACAAAGCATTGAATATGCTAAAAGATGACGGAGTCAAGAGTTGAAGCCATTTATGGGTCCTGCCGTATGATCTACTTAATCAAGCCTTGAAGGGATTGCAGATAAGATTTATCTTATCCAAAGTATCCCAGACTCCTCTATAAAAGAATGAGTCTGGAATACTTTGGAGGGGGTATCTGTAAGCGTCAAAAAATGCTGATGGATATCCAAATACAGCTTAAAAGGAGATCATCCAAAGATCAAAAGAACATAAGAAACAAGTGTTTGCTGTCTCGGGCACCAGACAGTGTTTTACTGTATCGCCAGACAGTCTTTTACTATTTCGAGAGACAGTCTTTTACTGTTTGGAGAGACAGTCTTTTACTGTTTGGAGAGACAGTCTTTTACTGTTTGGAGAGACAGTCTTTTACTGTTTGGAGAGACAGTCTTTTACTGTTTGGAGAGACAGTCTTTTACTGTTTGGAGAGACAGTCTTTTACTGTTTGGAGAGACAGTCTTTTACTGTTTGGAGAGACAGTCTTTTACTGTTTGGAGAGACAGTCTTTTACTGTTTGGAGAGACAGTCTTTTACTGTTTGGAGAGACAGTCTTTTACTGTTTCGCGAGACAGTCTTTTACTGTTTGGCGAGACAGTGTTTTACTGTTTCGCGAGACAGGAGTTCAGAAACCGCCTAAACAAGTGGCCATTAACTGTTAAAGATCGTGGGAGACAGTTACAAACTGAAGAAAAGGCCCACTAACCTCATAAAAAGATGGTATTTAAGGATTTGGACAGCGGTGACAAAAGGGGCTGATCATTTTTGAGCACTTCAATGTAATCCAGAGCAGAGAGAGAGCAGAGGTCTTGAACTTTCGGCCACTCCTTGATAATCAGGCTTTGACTTGATTTCAAGAAGAACGACTATCTTACTTCGATAAGATATCGTTTCAATTTCTCACTTCGATAAACGAAGTCAGAATCATAAACCCCTCACGATTCAATCAGAATCTGTGACTTGGCGGTCCACGAGTCAAAGCGCTCCCGGCATAGGCAAAGATCCCACGAAAGCAGTGATCCAAACAACGATCCTGCGTTTATTTTCTCAAGAGTTGTAATTTTCTTTTTGTTGTGTAAAAGAGTCTTATAAAAAGGCTGTTTTCTTTGAATTTATTGTAATCGACCGAAGATATAATGAATTCGACAACAAATTCGACTTTTGGCGAAAACATGGAGTTTGTGAACATCCACACAAAGACAATCCAGCAGATATCCTCACGAAGGTGGTCCTTAACAGCAAGTTCGATCACTGCAGAAACTTGTTGAGGATTTGTGCTTGTTGAGGCCTGTCGAGGTCATTTGGAGGAACTACAGGCAGTCTGATCCCTTGGGAGAGGGGGTACGTAGGCAACCATATTGGTGCAGCCGGATTTGGAGAGACGACGCATTGGTGCTCTTGTTGGTGTCGGCTCAATTTTGGGAATACTTCACCGAGGTGGAGAATTGTTAAAAATCGGAAACACTCTGGTCGATCGACTAATGGGTGTGATCAGTCGACCGATAACGTGCACACTGTAGGAACGGAAAAACGCTGCACCACCAGACAGTCGACTGATACATCCCTATCAATCGATTGATGAAGACCTACCGGTCGACTGATGGGAAGTCATCAGTCGATCGATAGCAGGCCAGAAACGGATATCCGTTTCCTAGCCTGTTTTGAATTTGGGTTGTTTATAAATAGAAGCACGTCTTGTTAGGGGTTTTTATCAGAGAAAATACAGTTGTTTGAGCACTTTGAGAGGGAGATTATTAAGAGGGGGTGAGATCTTGTTGGTTACGGTTACTGTGATTGTTTGAGAATTGTAACCCATTGTATTTCTCCTCCATATAGTGAAATCTTCCCATCATCTCCCCGTGGACATAGGCAATTTGTTGAACCACGTAATTCTCTGTGTGCGTTGATTTTGGTCGTTCTATTATGGATTGCACTTGTTGTGATTCTCCGTGCATTACTTACCGACTTGTTGTGAATTTTTGAGGTCGCTTCCGCCGGACACAATAGTAGTATATTAGATTAGTATAATAAATCAGAATATTGGTATACTCATCCCGGTCTTCTTCCTCCTTGTATGACTTTTTTTATGCAGTGCTCTCTGTAGGTTTTTTGTTTTGTTTTTTCGTTTTTTTTATTTTTTGCTTTGCTGCATCCTGACTACTTCCTCATGCAACAAAAAAACAACATTTAACCCAATAAATATATAGAAATATATATTATACACAAAGCAACTAGTTCAGAGAAAATAAACCATGGAAGCCAGTAGGTAACTAAAGCTAACATAAACATGAGCATTTTGTGCAACAAAGAAACAGAGTCTTGATCACCCATAACACAGTAGAAATTGTCCATAAATAGAAAGTTAAACTAGAGAAAATGGATCTGAAACTTATTACAAGTTTTCAGTTGGTCTTGCCACCAGGAGGACTTTTAACACCAGGAGGAGCTGGTCCTCTCGACCTCACTTCAAGAATTCCTTTTTCCTAAATCATCCATAAGCTACAGATTTAACATAAACCAAAAGAAAAAAAGAAAAAAAAAATCAACTGTTATCACGAGGAAGTAAAGTTTTCAAAAAGTATTAGAACCTGATCCAAGCCAAGCTGAGATTCCTCCTCGTCTGCAGCTCCTGCATGCAAGAAAACTTAAAAGGATAAGATCTGCAGAAGCTGAAGTCTATAAATAAAAAACATTCACCAAATTAAGAAAACTTCAGATGTGTTATTATGTAACCTTTATCTTGTCGGTTCTTGTTAGCCCCACCCATGACGTGCTCATGGAGGCAGAAGAATCTGTCTCTGATCTGTTGAACTATGCTAGCCATTGAACTAGGTGATTTATCTTCTTGAATGTTAGAGTTAGGATCATGATCATCATTTATATAGACATAGAAGTGATAAATTTAATTATGAGGGGACTTCGATTGAGGAGCAAAACCATGTGCAGCTTCATATATTAATTTGCTTTCTGCTGTTTCGATGAACATAGAAGGAAGGTTCTTCCATGTGTTAATAAATGATGGCAGGTTGAAAATTAGAAATTGGTAACATGGATACCACTGATTTTTCACGGGATAGTTGATGCATCAAAGAGTACTAATCTTTAGGCTGAAATTTAACTTTCTCTTTTTTTTTCTCTCAATGATCGATGTATGTGAAAACATACGGTGCGTCTTGCTCACGGCATTAGATATGTATCAAAGAGATATCAACCGTTACATCCGTATACGAATCCGATGTCCAAAGGGCTGTTTGGCAACCACACAAAATTTGACAACTTGATTCAATTTTGAGAATAGTTTTGATTGGGAAAAACTGGACAAATGCTACCCCAATTTTCCTTAAGCAAAAAAGAGCTATTAAGTTGTTTCTATTTTGAATCATTGATCTCTCCTTGGTTCAAAATAGAATTAGTTTAACTTAAAACTTGCACAGAGCTAGTCCTAACTCGCTTGTACAATTATTCAAATAGAGCCTAGTGTTTAAAAATTGACATCTTTTCGGTATACATTTAATACTATATATGAAGTGGGATCCCCCGGTGGATTGAGATCCTCTCCTCATCAATAGTGTTTCCTAATATCTCCTCATGCATCCCCACCATTCATTTTGTGGGACCCATCTTTGCTTTTGTACTTACCCACAAAATGAATGGTGGGGATGCATGAGGAGATATTAGGAAACACTATTGATGAGGAGAGGATCCCAATCCCCCCCCCTCCCCCCGTTACTCGTGAGTATTGGGGTTGGTCCTAAGTTCATGTGGGCTGAGGCTATATTCAGTTGAAGAATGATGGGCCTTAGCTGAATGAAGATGGGCTGAGGCGAGTTTTATATCAAACTGGATTTTCAAGGAAATGTTGGAATTATAATCCTAACCAGGACTTGAATGCGTTCGACTTGTGATCTCAATTTGGCCTCAGCGAAATGGTAATCCCAGCGACTCTGTGTCTCAATTTCCAACATAAATTAACTATAAAGAGCTCAAAACTTGAAGGAAGGGGGAAAACTACAACAAACACAAAAATTTTACAAGAGTACCGGTACGCACTACACAATCACACTCCATCATAACAACCACGCTCTCAAACTTCGTCTCATATAAATAGGAATTAATTTACACACGAAATGGCTGACTAGCTAGGATTGTTGAGCGTTGATCTGACCACCTGGACCTGGGTTTGGTTTGGTCCTTGGAGGCCTCCTGGATCGAGGTTGAATCGTGTGTCCATCATCTTGATCTTGCTGCATGACACAAACACATGATACATATATATATATATCAATATATTGTACGAATATTATGATATAACCCGAGAAAAACTTCATATTACAACATAAATCTCAAAAACCTTAAAATCATGTCTAATAATTCCCACCCAAAATAATCTAAACATACTTAGAAGTGGCTTTCCAATTATTCAAATCAAATAGTTGGTAATTAATGGTGACTCTAGTACTATAGTACCAAGAAAAGAACAATAGAGATAAACTATATATGCATATATGTTTCTAAAAAGTTACTACTGAGCTACTCACAATAACCTTAATTTTTACAAGAATTAGGAGCTATATCAAACTGAGCTTTGCTACAGTGACCCAAAATATGGGACCAACAGGAGGGACATGTGAGGTGTCCCCCTCCTATTGCATAATGAGTTGATCATCATTAATGATGATCAACTCATTATGCAATAGGAGGGGGACACCTCACATGTCCCCCCTGTTGATCCCATATTTTGGGTCATTGAGGATGAGTTGTCAAGCACATCACAATTGGATCTCACAAACCCCCCTTTTTTTTTTAATAATCTGCATTTCCCAACCCAGTTTGCTTTAGTTTTTTATTTCTTTTTTAAGAGTTTAAACTTGTTTAGTTATGAATCATATGAAAGTTAGTCCACAATTAAATTAGTTTCTGTCAGAACCAATTTAAAGATTAAGTGTAGCTCATTAGAGCTTTGCTACATGAACCTAAAATATGGGACCAACAGGAGGGACATGTGAGGTGTCCCCCTCCTATTGCATAATGAGTTGATCATCATTAATGATGATCAACTCATTATGCAATAGGAGGGGGACACCTCACATGTCCCCCCTGTTGATCCCATATTTTGGGTCATTGAGGAATTTTTCAACTGTAAAACTTTATAGAGAGGGAGAGGGAGAGAGGGAGGGAGAGAGAGAGACCTTTCCATTGTCACTAGAAGGATCGCAGAAGCCGAAGCAATCACTAGAAGGATCGCAGAAGCCGAAGCAACCAAGGCAAGCTCTCAAAAAGCACTGAAGCAAAGAGCATGGGTGGAGGTAAGAAGTAGACACTTCCTCACTTGCAGTATTACTTTCTTCCATTTCTTTCTTCCTCCTTCTCCTTCCTCTCTCTCTCTCTCTCACACACACACACACACCTAGTATTTATGAAACACACACACACCTAGTATTTATGAAGCAGCTAGCTTACTCTATCCATTTGTTACATTGACCTAACTAACCTCATACTTTAGAGTTAAGTCCTTCGTTTATGAAGCAGCTTACTCTATCCATTTGTTACAATTTTTTTTTTGGGGGGTTGAGGTGTGAGTCGTGTGACAAAAACTGTTTACCTCAGGCACTGGTGTATTAAATTTGAGATCAGTTAGTCCTTCATTAATTAAGCTTGCAGTTATTTAAGAACGGTTTTTCTATAGAGTGCCCATGGGCACTCTATAAGAGAGGAGAGAGATAGAGAGAAATGAATGAAAAGAGGATCCCAATGCAAATCAGGGGATCCCCTCTTCATTCATTTCTCTCTATGTCTCTCCTCTCTTATAGAGTGCCCATGAGCACTCTATAGAAAAACAGATTTAAGAAATATTGGTCTTGTCAACAAAGAGAAAACAGTTAGAGAAATAAAGTATAGTGGTACAATGGTGTTTAGTCACCAACTAAGTTAATTAAGTTGGATGATCTTACGCAGCAAGGACCAAACTTTTATCGTTGATTAGTAAGTATATTGAAGCACTAGATAGTTAATTTAATACGTATTTGAGAAAATAAGAGAGTGTTGTTTTAAAACTCAAGTACAGGGGCATATTGGTAACTTCCCCTAAAACCTCCGTAGTAAAGAGAGATGACAGGGGGGGTCACCTACTCTCTGCTCAAGGCCAGAGAAGACAACAAGAAGGACTCAAAAAGAGCACTCTCTGTAACTCCACCAACTGCATTAAAAAACACAACCCAAAATTGAACGCGGATATTAATACGATGCCATGCATCTCACCTTAGTCGAAGTATTCGTAATAAATTGAGACATTTTTTGTAACGTAGCCCAAAATTAATCTCATGTCCTTTATAAGGCAATGTGTCATTAATTTTGATACGTACAAAACCTTGTTGTGGCGTCAATGACAGCGCAAGGAGAGGAAGAAATCCTATGTCGTTAGTGCTTAATTAGAACATTAACACATATTCAAATAACAATTTTGTACGAGCAATTGTTAGCCGAATATGTTCCCAGCATTAAAGAGCGAAACACTTAGTTCGTACGCTGAAGATTTTGTACAACAACTCTTCTAACAAGAATGGATGTAATTCTTTTAATTAAAAAAAAAGAAAAAAAAAAAGAAGCAAGAACTGATGCACATGAACTGTCCAAGAAAATATTAGGCCAAATTGCACAAAAATATCATGAAATTTTCCAGTTTGACAATTAAGATAAGTTTTTGAAATTTGCAGGTTACCGTCGTCGTCGATCATGCAAATGTGAGAAGTGTCACCCGGATATTTCCTTGCTTAGATTATATCACTCTCATTTTGAACATTCTAACTTACTCTTCTTATAAAGTTGTGTTCCACAAAAGTTGAAAGGAGGAAGATTTTCTTTTTGTGTTGTGGGTTAACTGCAACGGGCCAACAATTAGGCGCGTAATTAATTAAAAGCCATAATTACATATTCTTATAACGTCAGAAACTTATTGGCACTTATATAAGAGGCCAAACCATGTAATTAATTATTCTTATAACGTCAGAACTTTTGGCATTTATATAAGAGGCCAAACCAGCAAACCTAAGTTATTGAATTAAGTTCATTTCTTTTAATAAAAAAAAACTAATCAAGTTTAGGTGAACTGGGCACATCTTCCTCCTTCTAACACTAAACAATATAGCAAGTAGGATTCGCTCATGGTGTGTACCAAAAGATTCTAATAAAGTTGAATATCCTTGTGATATGGCAAGTTTCTTTTGTTTATGAAATGAGAATATTTTTTTAGTGTGTTCACGTAAACAATAGGAATAGGATTTTCAAGACAATTTTAAAAAAAGATTAGATCAACTAAGTAGCAGTACAAAAAATGGTTGCAAGACGATTTAAAAAACTTATAAAAGAATACTAGCAAGTAATGGTAAAATATAATAGTGGATACATATATTTGAAATAATTCTGAAGAAAACAAGGAACATACCGTCACACAATGAAATAAGCAAACGAAAAGAAACCACTCAATCTCAACTCTACATACTTCAAAACAAGTAAGGCTCCTCCTCTAGCAAAGTAAATCACTGAACTCAAAAAATATTAAATTCAAATAAAAATGTTTTTATGACATTCTTTTCCTTTTGCATTCTTGTTTCCAATGCAAATTGTAATCTAGTCTGCTACATTATGAAACATAGTGTAAGCTACATTTAAAACTCATTTTGGACGCCGTAAAATTTGTTCACGGAGGTAGAAGATGCTAGCTTTGATATCAGCTGCAAATTTAACTGTAAATAAGGTAAAAAACTGAACGTTCATTTCAAGATGAAATTGGCTGCCGACACTGAAAGACCTCATAATTCATTATGGCATCAATTTCATAATGTTAACAGCTACAACCCTAGCTGCCGACACTGAAAGACCTCATAATTCATTATGGCATCAATTTCATAATGTTAACAGCTACAACCCTCTCTTTGAAGGAGAATCTTACACCTAAGTCATTATGGCATCAATTTCATAATGTTAACAGCTACAACCCTCTCTTTGAAGGAGAATCTTACACCTAAGAGTGTTTATTTCATAGTAATGAGATAGAAAAAAAAGTGTAGGTTTACTTGAAGAAGCAGGTATCAAAATGCACACTGCATTAACATGAAGCTGATGAAGTTATCAAAATATGGAAAGCGCGTTAACTACCTAGAATCATGAACAGGAAAAGTAACTACTGACAACAACATTGATTCACACTTTCATTCATATGCAACCCTACCAACACTATATACCATCGCGATAGAAAGTGTAAAATTTCATGTTAAAACATCGACTATTAGTTGCACGACATCATCACATACTTGACTGTCCACAAACCAAAAGACGAGAGAACTTCCTATAGAAAAGAAAACCATTTTCCATACCAAAAAAGAGCTATGAACAAGAGGAAATAATCCCATAAAAAGAAGCACAGGAGTTACAAAATTTTAACCACTTCTCTCTTCTATCAGAGTGAACGCTTCTGTTGACGCGTGCCTATAAAGTTCATCGCCCACCGAGAAAATTGAGTGACACCAAATATAACCCCAAGAAGAGCACGACCCTTCAGGATTCCCTCTCGTAGATTTCTTGCGGTCCTAGCTAATGCTGGGTCCTCAGTCTCATCCCGTGGGGGGACTTGCACCTGCATTGGTACTAAACAAGTGAAAATAAAAGTAAAAACATCATCTAGTCCGAATAATTGCTTTATAATTATTGATAAGACAACATTTAACTAACCTGTAGGAGCCATAGTAGCGAATTGACGTAGTCTATCCTCAGCTACTCTAACTGTTCGAGTAGACCTCCTGACTCCCTGAGTTATTTCTTGACTGCACGATCAGAAAATTGCTTAGAATATTATTTCAGAAACTTTAGTTCATATGAAACTAAAATAAATTTGGAAAACTGACCCAATGTCGCTAAGTTCCACCGTTAACTCACTGATCTCCATTCCGGAGAGCCTGACAGCAGCCATAGTATCAGGGAGCTCCTCAGCAGTGACATCTAGCAGTTTTTCCATTGACTCTGCAGCTCTCTTGAAAGCCTATTATTTTACAGTTAAAGTATTTGAAGGAAAATATCTCAACAGAGTTAGAAAATTAAGATCATTATAAGCAGAAGCAAATTCAAGAGTAAAGCAGCAGACCAAGAGAGATGGAATTGCTGAGAAGAACAGCCACGTTGTAGAAATTGCCACCTGCAAAAGATTAGGAAACATTCAAAACACGTAGGGTGAAGAAAAGAAGAAGAAAGAATAGGCAGAACATGTGTGGTGCTTGTATCCAACTTAAAACAAGAATATATTTCTTTTAACAATTTCAATGAATAGATCCTCACAAAATTCATATAAATGGAGGGAATGGATGCTAAAACAAAAGGCAGAGATGCCATATCAATGTCAAATTCAATAACATCGCGCAAAATCCACTGCAATTGTAGCAGTTAATGCATTAGATCAAACACTTAATCTGGGAAAGATGGATCATCTTGTAACCATGACAGTACTCATTGAGTGAACCTGACAACTGTGCTGGACCAACTAATATCGTAGGCTAATGAACTTCAGTTATTCTATCATTTTATAATGGGAGCAGCAACGCCCAGATAATAATTCCAGCAAAACTAGAAGTGATTTCATGCGTAACTTTGAGGTATTTCACTTCAATCATTTTCTCGAAAAGTATCAAAAGTTGCAATGTTCCGGATGTCTTTACATAATTCAAGCCTCAAACTCATTCAAATTGTAGCAGTCGATGGTGCTAGCAGTATAGGCATAAAATTGGTACGTGCAAGGATGTGCAAGTTCTCAAGTCTTCAACGTAACACAAGCGGCCGTCCCTTAAAGTTGAATGCAGAAAAAAGGACTATTGCACCTTTACCAATTAAATCTGGGTATTAAGAACCATTTACACACAAAATTCAACGGAGATGGAGCCACAAAGAAGTGCATTTTCAGATGGTTTGCTTCAACTTTCCAAAATTACAGAATAAAAGGCAGCATTTTCTCATTTATATCACCTGTAAGTCCATATTTCTTTTCTATAGACGATTCAGTATCTTTTTTTTGAAGGGAAGGTCCATAATAAACTGTAATGCTTTCAGAAAGCTAGAACCAGAGGTAACAAATATAATCCTGTGTTAGTTAATCCAAATGGTAATTTAGTTATAGAAATCGCTCAGTACATTGATTGACTGTTCAGATGTCAATGAACTGGAGGCTCTCAGAGCGGCCTTCACTCGGTCCTAGCCTACTCTCTATCATCTTTTGGTACCCTCCCACATTTGTCTGGTTAAGGATCAACCTTGATAGTTCACCAGTAAGTAAGGTTTTTATTTAAGAGCATCAGGTGACTACAATGAATTCTTCCTTGGTTGAGATGTCGTACTAATAGGGGGGAGAAATAACCCAATGGAATGAGGAGAAATTGTCCCCATTTTATCTTGTTGCAAAACATATTTGGCTCAAAGGTGATGCGAAGGGTGCTTACTACGGCCATTGCCATGGCACTAGCACTAGCACTAAGCAATGGGGGTTGTACCAAAGCCCCACCAAGGATATATCCTATATGGAAATGGTACATTTATATAAAGATATCAAAGGTCCTGAATAGTATGTGGGAGTCGCCGGGCAAAACTCCTTGGTTTAGATCTTCTGCCGTAGAATGCTCATGTAAATCATTTTTCCCCCTCCCTTCTGTAGACCGCATCCAGTTTCATAAACTAAGATGGAATTGTCGCGTATAAATCAATTATGTTTGATTTTACTGGCTGTTGCCAGGTCAGAGAAATCAGATAACCTTATTCATTTTATACAACCAATCCCATTTTCTAAGTACTATATGCTAGTCTTCAACATCAAGCTGCGATCTTTCCAAGAAAATTTCATTCCCAAGCCCAGACTTTGTTTCTAAAAAACCAAGTGTAATTCTTCTCCCTTAAACAATAATCAGAACACTTTGTCAGCCCATGACCAGTTTCCATAAACTAAGATGATATTGTCGCATATGAATCCCATTATGTTCGATTTTACAGGTTGTTAGGAGTTCAGAGAAATCGGATAACCCGATTCTATTATACAACCAATCATATTTCCTAAGTATTATATGCTGGTTTTCAATATCAAGTTGCAATCTTTCCAAGGAATTTCACTCCCACACCCACGCTTTGTTTCTAGAACTCAAAACTCAAGTGTGAGTCTTCTACCTTAAAGAACAAACATAAAACTTCGATAACCCATGACCAATTTTCCCATCACAGCTCTCTCTGAAAATCAAAGTTCAACGCCTTCCAACTCATCCGCCACCAATTCTCAAAACCCGCAATTTGCTTTCTCAATTGACACCAGAAAGCTACAATCTTTGAGAGCAATTTAACCCCAAACTACAAAACCCAGAAATAATTCTCCCCCCAAAAAAATCAAGAGATAACAGAAAGAGCTCATTTACCACACAAGCAGCGACATTGAGCACACGAATATGCCTGGGGCCGAGACTCCACTGAGATAGTTCAATGGGCGGAGGAGATCCAACGGTGGAAGAGAGGCCGGCAGAATCAGCGGAGGATCCGATCGCAAGAGAAATGCGAGGGCGAGGGCGATGGAGTTTGGTTGATTTGAGAAAGAGAAGACGAGGGAATGAAGACGCAGGAGGAGGAGAAGGGTGACGGAGAGACATGCCGGAACCGGGCCTTGGGCTTTTCGGGTGCAGGCCGCCTCCTCTTTTTAACGCCGGTGGAAACGAGGCTCGCCTCTTGGAAAACTTCATGCGACACCCTTGTCTGTAATTTTATTTGCAAAATGTTAGCAACATTTTTCCTTCGGTTTTTTTTTCGATATTGCCCCCTTACACCTTTGCTATTCTGCCGTGAGTCCCCCAGATTATTATGTTTTGATATTCAATCCCCCAAATCCTCTTAGGGGGTGTTTGTTTCACCAAATTTTTTAGTATTTGGTATGGATTACAAGTTTGGGGATAAAAAAGTGAGTTTTTTTGTATTTTGGGATTCCATATATGACGTTTGTTTTAAAAAAAAATTAGAATATTGAATCCCAAAAGTGTAAAAAGTACCAAATTTTTAGAATCTGTCAAATTCTCTCAATTAGAGAGGATTTTAACAAATCTCATAAATGGGTGTGTTTACCTCTCAATTAGAGAGGATTTGACAAATCCTAATTTTGTCTTTTTGTGGGAGGTAACATCATCAAGATAGCATATTCATCATATTATAAAATTTTGATATTTGGTAATGCTACAATTTGAGCTTGAAACAAACAAAATATATATTACAAATTGTAGTATTCTAAATCTCAAAATATTAATGAAACAAACGATATTTTAGAAATCCCAACCTATAACAAAACACCTATGGATTTCAACTCCCATAGTGAAATCCATATCCTAAAATTATAGGATTTGAAACAAACACCCCCTTTGATATTAGTCTTCCGGCCAGCTCGACATAAAGCTCCAAAACCATGATTGAATTCAAACTAACCATTTTCAGCCCAAGAGCGTTGAGGGATCAGGCCCATTTGCAAATCGAGGGAATGAGGTGGATCCATTTGTGAGCAGATACTTGAGTAATTAGATTGAGCATGAAAGGTGTTTGATCAAATGCGGGAGAGAGCTGTGGTTTCTTGAACCATCTACTTCTTTATTACTAAAAGCGAACAATAAAAAAGCTAAAATGAACAGTAAATTTTATAATTTTTTTGTATTTACCCCTCAATTCTCCACAACCGTCCATTATTGAATTAATTCACCCCAACCGTCCAAATTCGCACGTTTTCAGAACCAAAACCCACGTCAAAGCTTTGATTAACAGTTAATGAAAACCCACGTTCTCTCTCCCTCTCTCTCTCTCTCTCACATTCCCCATTTTGTCTTCTCTTTCTTCCGAGGAGCGGCGTGAAGCACTTCCCCCTTTCTTTTCTCTGCTGATTTCCTTTCCTTCCCCTTCCTCCCCTCTCTGCCCTCTCCCCGAACACAACGAGGTCTCCGTCCCCATCTCCTCCTCCCCCTCCTCCGCCCAATCCCCCTCTGCCTCCTTCAAAGACCGCCTCATCTTCGGCGACCCCACCAAGTCTTTTGAAAACTCCCCTCTCCCCTCTGAAGAACAAAAACAAACAACAATGGCATCTGAAGAAACCAAGAGCCCAAAAAACCCATCAAAAGAAACCAATAGCATTCTCAGCCCCGGGTTCAGGTCAGCGGCGGCCATGGCTGGCTGGGATGAAGGGGCCCTTCTCCTCGCTAGCCTCATCGTCGAGGATACGCCGATCAGGGATTCGAGGCACAAGAAACGACCAAACCATCACAATCTCAAGTCACCAGCTTCCACAAACTCATCTTTTTTTTTCCTTCCTGTTTTTCTTTCAATTTTGTTGGGTTTTATTGAAATGGGTGTTCTGGGTTTTGTAGAAAACGGAGATCTATATATGCAAATATTTTGCTTGAGATTTTCAGACAATCTATGAAAACACCCAAGAAACAGGGGAAAAAACATAAATAACAAAATCAGAGAGAACAAAATCCCCCAGCGCAGGAAACTTAACGGGTAGGAATTGGTGAAAGATATTCTATGAGATGTTCTTTCCCAACTTGATTCATTGCCCCCACGCCTTTTGTTTATAAATTTAGAGATTTATTGGATTAGTTAGATTTTAGATGTTGAAATAGTGAGAGAGACAACACAAATTTTTACAAAAAGAAAAAAGAAAAAGAAAAAAAAGCTGAGGAAATCTCTCAACCTTCCCATTTCTTCTTCTTCAAGTTCAGGTAATCTCTTTGGCTTCGTGGGTTTTACTATTCATTGTGAATTTCTCACTTTTTTTATGTTTGTAGTGAATTATGGCTTAGTTTGAAGAAACCCAATATGGGATTATTGGTTGGTTTTGTGCAAAATTCAGTTATGGGTATCTATCATATGGGAATTTTTTGACTAGGAAGGAAGTGGGTTCCTTTACCTGATTCAATTAGAGCAGAATTTAGCATGCTATTAGAATATTTCTATGAAATTTGTTGTGATCTGGAGTTGTGATTTTGATAGTCAGTTGTGGGGTTTTTAAGAACTACGAATGAGGAAAGTCTCTGCCTTTTTATGGTTTGTATGAACTTTAAGTTGGGATTCACCATTGCATGTAGCTGTAGGTGTGCTACCGAGAATTTTAGTAGCAAGATACATATGGAGAGTTAAATTTGTTTGTAGAAAATGGGGACTTTTTGCCTTGATGATGGGGAAGAGGATGCCAAAAAAGGTTGTTTTTTTTTCTAATTTTGTTTATTTTAATAATCTGATTTGGGGACTTTTTGTTGATCACTATTTAGTTGGGCTTCGTTAATCGTATCGGGTTTTTGACTACAGACGTTGCTGTGAAGAAAAATGGAGTGGGGAATGTTGTTGATGATGATAGTGATAAAGGGAAGAAGATGAAGGGAGAACAGAATTTTGGTGAGAATGCATGTTCGTCTGATAATAATAATAATGGGCTTCCATGTATGGATCGGTTGAGAGAAGAGCCTTCATGCGCTGTAAGGAGATAAATCTGTTTGGTTTTATATACATTTTTGTGCTTCATTGATTTGTTTCCATCAATTTGTGAATTGTTCTTTGATTTGTGTTTTTGAAATTTTTGAAGATTTGTTTGGAGATTTGCTTCGAACCAGTGCTGTTTAGTAAATTTCTGTAATTACACATGTATGTAATGTATATTCGTACCAGTGCTTTTTAGTAAATTTAATAATCTTACTTATTGAACATAAATGTCAACTTTGCAAACAACATATAATTCTTTGAATTGAGAACGATGCTGAAATTAAGAAAGACAACAAAAAGTGTTATCACAGTAGCGCAAGTGATGCATAAAAATATGTACACATAAAACAAACCAAAAGATTAATACTAGGCCGTGCTTTGCACGGGTTAAATACTAGTAGTTATTAATGATAGATTAAGAAGGTTGACAGACTGGCGTAGCTCAATGTTTCTCTAATATTTGGTATATTGATGCCTTTGTGTGTAAAAGTTCCTGAACTGGGTTGTGCACGGAAGGTGTTTGATGGAATGGTTGAAAGAGATGTGGCTTTCTTTCACCACAGTAATCAGAGAGGGGTTTTTGATGAATGAGGCCACCGTGCTTGGCTTTCGATTAAACGGGTTTGGATTTGGGGGAGTCCTTAACGTGTACCGGTTTAAGTGATTGTGGGTTTAGGTATGTGAACCGAGGGGTAAATTTGTCTAAGCAACAAAAAAACTTAAGGAAAACGGAAAACTCACCCGCTATTTTAAACACTATAAGGAACAAGAAACTTAGAGGATACGGAATATTCCTCCATCATTTTAACACCAACTAACTAGCTAATGTATATCAACATGTTAAAGATGATTTGGGGGACTAATATCAAAAAATCAGTAATTTGACAGGCTAATATCAAGATACTAAAGATTTGAAGGAACTGATATCAAGGGGGAAAAAATCCATTTCGGAAATGGTCATATCAAATATATTGCTCATGTTTGAACTCCTTATGTTGACCCTTAACACCATTGTTTTTTCCTCATGTCCGACCATTGTTATGAATAACATTTTTTTTAGGATTTCTAAAATTTTGAGTAAATTCTTGAAACACGTGTGTCATGCGCGCATCGCATGCACCAGTGGACTAGTATGATACAAAAAGACTAGTCTTTATAAATTATAACATTCCTTTAACTTAGATTTGAGTAGTTCTCTCAAAATTCTTAATTTGAGATATAATTTTTGTCAAAAAAAAAAGGGTTGGAAGTACTGTGATTTATTGATTGATAATTAATTCTTCATGATAACCTTTGTAGTAACAGGATATATGAGAAATTGCATTAATTAAAATTAAAGAAACTGGAAAATGCACCCTTCAAAAGATCAGCTTGCATTCTAAGTTGGAAATGTTGAGTTTGAAGAGTTACATAGTTATGCCTGCTATAACTACCAGAGAAGGCAACATTCTTACAGGAAGAGATCTCAAGATCTTCTTCTAGACAAATTCCAGACGAAGAACAAATAATACAGTCAAAATTAATTAAGAAAACTGTAAATTAAAGATACATAAAACATGGCAACTGCTATAGATAGATACCATAACTGTTCTCCAAAGGGAATGAATACATATAATATGCCTATCAAATCCCAGATATAGGAGACGTGGAAAATAATAGATTGACATAACATTGAATGCAGTACTTTATGACCAGTACTAATAAATCATACGCAAGAGAGTATACTATCATTTTATGATATATATATGTCATTCTAGATCAGTCTCTCAATTATTAAACTCGATGGTTAATTCGTTAATTATCGAATATTGTGTTCGATACTAATCATCAAGTATGATATATCTAGTGCTTCAAACTCAAACCTAATTGCTTTTATTTCTGGGCATTAGTTGACAGCTAAAATTATTTATATATTCCCTCCAATTGTAACACATTACATATCGCGGGTTTAGCTGAATACACCATGACCCACTCCACATATACAGTTAGGACAAACTGATCAAGTTGCTGCGGACAAGAGTCAAAACACATGCTCAATGCTCCAATTAAGTAAATGAATTTTAAATTCTCTTCCTCTTGTACATGCATGAAAGGATGCTGTGTGACACTTAATTTTGCTAGTAAGTTTCGAAAATTCTATTCTCTTAAGCACTACTGTAAAGAGAGTTTACCACAATACTAGAATAATATATATAGATATTTCATATAATAATCTCATATCTTATGCGGTTTTTAATTAG